ACGCCTAGAGTTTTTCACACTTGGGTCAACTCAAAATAAATAGTCGTCGATTAACAACGTACTTTCAAGTTGTGAGTAGACAGAGTTCACTAAATTAAGTTTTACAGGGTAGTTGTCGCATTCTAAGAAGGAACGTCAACAGTCCCCATAAGGTGAGTTAGTTCTTCACACCGAGGGTGAAGACATTGTGATAAATAATCTATCAACCTACCTGCGAGCCTCGTTGAAACACGTTGGGGTCGAAGTGTTTGCAGAGAAGTCCAACAGTGAACAATGCGCGCAGAATGGATGGTCGTATCTGAGGTGAGATAGGTTTTTCCGGTTCGGCCGTTAAGTCATCCTTGAAGCGAACCAGAGCATTAAAGAAACGCGAAAAGCAATCACGAGTAAGGCTGTAATTCTTTGAAACCTGGTTGACCACAGCGCCAAGACAGGCAACACAGGATTCGAGGACAATCTTGCCCTGTCGGAGGGTCAGTCGCACCATGTCCTCCTCCAGCTGGGCCAGAAAAGTCTCGCTGGGGTGCTCCAGCAGGGGTACCGTAACCTCCAGGATTCGCGCCACGTAGTGGAGTATGTGAGCGTCCGAGGTGCCATGGCCACGAATCGAGAGGTAGGGCTGGATGAGCATAGCGTGCTTCACCATCAACTGAGGTCTGATTTTGGTAAAGAGGTGAAGTGTGGCCAAACAGGCGACCAGGCGATTCGTCTGCCCCGGGATTTCCTCAAGACGCATGATGTTTTGCACAAGGCACTCTACGATTTGCACGCAGGCTTTCTCAACCGGTCGGATTTTCTCACCCTCCTCTTTGCTGAGCAACTGTAATAAAAGGAATCAAAACCGTCTTTTTTACAGGCAACCGGCAAAAAAACTGGGTTCTGGGCAATTCACTCCGCTACTTAGAAAGAATGAAGGTAACTGCTAATTCCAAAATATTATGCCAGTTTTGATAACATAACTATTGACTTACACAATATTCAAAAGGAAGCCTAGCCGAAGTAGGTGCGGACAAGGCAAAGCATTCGCCAACAAACATGTAACCTCCCGTACACCAATGCAGTTCAGAGACAGTGGAATGGGCTAACGTGAAGGGTACATCATCATCCACAAAAGCCCCTCGAAACTACCAAGATAAACATGCGAAATATTCTAATACAACTTTCTCGAATCGATAATGGTAAATGGACATTCACTCTTGAGTCTCGTCATGAGCCGCACAGACACTAAGGATATTAGCATGATGGCACTACCGACAAAGACAAGGCAGGCTGGAACTGTCGTTTTTGACTTATTAGCCGTCATCAGCCAGTCATACCCAATCCCAAGTGGTGCACCACCAGAGGCTAGAACCCCCGGTCTGTTGATTAGAAGTCCAACGCTCTTATCACTGAGCTGTGGTGGCGGGTTCGAGCCTCGGGTGATGCACAAGAAAGAAAGGGACGCTTCATTTTGAAAATATCGTTCCAAAACTTTCAGCAAAAAACATCCTCCATTCAAAAGGCATACAATTAGGCGCACAAACTCGCAACACCAGGAAATCAAAAGCAATCCATAATCGCTAATGACTGCAATTTTCGACATCTTAGATAAATGCCCTTGGAAGCGTCGTTAAAAATAGGCAAAATTAGACTGCTTTCGAAACGGCGTGACCTTGTGCACACATAACCTCGTTGCAGTTCAAATAAACAAGGAGGGATCAAAGTCGGTTTATAATGGGCGCAGTAGGAGAACCGAGGTACATATAAGAAAATGTATACCCGAGTGGAGGGAGAAAAAAATGGCGACTCAATTTGTTAAGTCCTCCGGTTGAGTTGGATATGGCTAGCCGATGATGGCTAATATGCCGGAAACAGTCGTTCTACTTTCCCATGCCCTCAGCTGGCCTCCGTTTTCGTTCAGCGCACCTGCTGCGTAGTCCGTTTTAGGGGGCATCTACACACGTCAGTAACGGTGGGCACACACGGACAGGGTGATAAACCACAAAAACGACAGATCCCACGGCAAAGCCTTAATAGAAAACAGCTTCTAGCGGAGAATTCGAAGGAGGCATGGAAAGTAATCACCTCGTCAGCAAAACAAGACGAAAAACAGGACACTTACGCTCTCCAGAAACTGTTCAAACCACTCATAGCCCGTCTCTTTGGAGGCTGCGACCACGTCCGTTATGTTCATGACTTTTCGCAACAACTTCACCGACTCCTTTTCGCGCACGGGCGTAAACCACAGGGTCTGGAACACCTCATTGACCAGTTTCTAGAAGTTAAAATGAATTCCAGGTTAATCACGCAAAACAAAAGCATCATAATACAACTATAACCGTTGTTGATCACTAGTGACGAGAACCGTTAATGTCAAAGGAGAGCAGCGACGGTTTAGGCGTGAATTCATCCACCCAAGTAGGATATTAAGGCATTCTTCTCACTACATTTTCTACAACCCAACCCATGCACAAGGGAGAAAACCAAGACAGGATGGGCGCGATTGAACTGACTAGCAAGCTTAAACAACGCATATTTACTTGCTAGTCCGTTGCTATCTCAACGAGAAGTGGGAGAGCCACAGATCACGGAACAAAAGTTGTCACAAAGACCCTATCAAGGAGCTATTACAACCAAGCTGTTTCGACAGTTCCCAACCTTTCAAGTCACGATTTTGATTAGTTCAAGTCAAACTCGAGATAACGGAGCAAAATTAACTATTTTACTCATAAAATGGGTATCACAGTGTTCCGGACAGCTTTCAATGGTAAATTGAAGGTTGAATTGCAATTATGCCATCATTTTATAAAGGGCCTGCTAGATATTGTGTAGTGTTCCTTAATATATGAAGACAACTCGCATAGTCATCTATACGACCATCCTATACGGCATCCCGTCTACGTCCTCGGTGACGAAACTTGCTGAAATATCGCAGAAGGAAAGTCAGGATTTTATGGTACACATTTTGGCACACAAAGCTAGTTAGCTATAGATTTTTTCGACATTTCAGATGCACAGGCAACCAAGTGGTACTCAAAAAGCGCAATAAAGTGAAGTCACAAGAGGCTACATGCGAGTTATGTTGTAATAAGTGGTGAAATTGAAGCCCCTCTGACCGTTTTTGTTGACTCAGGAAGCCCGTGACACCGGTGTAGGGCTGTGGATTGAAGCGCCACAGTACCGCACAGAAGAATTTATTCGTAAGTACTACAGCCTGCTTTTTGAACTACAAGGCGCAGGTAAGTCGGTGAATTTGAACTGGAAGGCGCCTCCCGAGATTAATGACTGTCAGTTTGAAGAAGCAGGTTTTAAATAACCCGAGGCGAGGTTGCTACCGAATGGACAGAGTAAGGATGACAATATCTCCCGAATCGATGCAATTTGTCGAGTTTTCTCAATTCCTATAAAATGTCCATGGACCCGACACGATATTTCTAATGCCGCGAAGGTTCGCGTGTACCATGCATCTCTGTGTTCTGTACTTCTCTACGGCTGCAAATGCTGGGCTATGCGCGTGGAAGATGAAAAGATATCTGACAACTACTGCTTAAGGAACATACTTCGAGTTAAGTACGCCGACTTTGTCTCATATGAGACTTTACTGGATCGCAACGGCGCTGTCATCACTAAGATCGATGAACGGTTAAAGAGATGGCGCGAGCATTTCTGTGACCACCTTAACCATGATCCCC